GTTACACTTGCAGGAAATGACTGAAAATCGATAGGAATTCTTTACGAAGATGCATTCCATCCGTAAGAAGGGATACTGCTTACAACTCAACAACAAAAACTGTGCCTCACATGTGATTCGTATGTTTGTTTGAAAGCATTCTGTCTTCCGACAGGCCACGGTGAGATCAAGTGATTTCACTTGATATCAAAAAGTCTGTTACAATTTATATCCTCAAACTGTCAAGTATTCCGTGTTAATTTTGTCTGGTTATTTTTGTTGTAAAAAGCAACTAATTTGGGTATCAAACCGCTGTTGAAATTATGGGTGATTAGCTTGTGCGGAGCTAATGCTGATGATGTATCAGGAAATGTGACGCGACATCGATTTTAAAACTTCCATTGTATTCACAAGAAAAATTATTTGGAAATGTGATCGTGATCAATCTAATCCATGAGGGAAACTGTGTCGAAAGTAGTAACTCGGGAGAACTGGTGAATTAGACAACGCCTTTCTACTGAAAAATTGGATAAAGTGTGAACATCAGTAATGGAGTTCAAACACAACCTATGGGAGTATGTGAAAGTGACCAATACCTTTGAATTTCCAGTGCCTACCGGAAACATTTGAGTTTAGTCGCCGTGTTCGAAATGTTTACCAGGAGCAAAATCTAATCGGTAGTATTCACGTGCGAAATCAAAAGAACATTTCATAAGGGACCCGTATGGAGGCATTGTATCAAATGGATCACCAGATACTCACCCATCAGTTGTTGTTAATAACGTTCAGTGTATCTGTGGTGTAAATTTGATTTTAAATTGACGAGGCAATTTTATTCAATTTCATAAAAATTCGTGTTTATGACGATTGCAAACATAAGCAGAATATAATCACTACCACCAAGCTTCAGTGTATTTGACAACTAAAATATTGAATTCCGATAAAATCTATGATAAATAGACTCATGTTACTCATGGAAATATAAACATTCATGGGGTTCTTCCATTGTGATTTTTCTGAAATCCGCGGGCTACTCTCATGGACTGTCAGAAATTCCCATCCTATCCCTATTCTCAGCTTCTCTATGGGATTTTCATGTAACTCTCTGGAAAGACAACAGTCCCATTTAGTAGTAAATATTAAGCTTACAAATTATGAGTTATTGTTTATAAAAAATATTCAAAATAAATATTTGAAAAACTCTTCATGGTTTCCATTCCATCCAAACTTCTTGAATAATGGAAAATATATTGTAAAGTTTCCCAGGTAGAGCTTCATTGTTTTCTTTTTTCTTTTCAATTTGACTTCCTTTTTTATTAAATACACAATGATACAATTTTCAGGAAGTGGGAAGCGGTCAGTCAAAGGGCTACCATGGGGAAAGTCAGGCTGTGGCGGTGGGATTCGNTTCGAATACACGTCCCTTGAATTGATCATTAGGTGACGTTACCACCGAGCCACCAACACCCATAGTACATCATAATGCATCCCTGTTTTCTCAGTCATATGCCCTTTGAGGAATGATACGACATATGCTCACGAATTATGTATGTTAAGTACGAATACTGGAAGTCAAATTAATGATGCGTTGATTTTCTATGTCTAGTTAGACTTCTTGTTTTGTCCTTTATGTCTTCCTACACGGTGAATGATGACCGCTTTGTACATCGTTGGTTGTTGTTTGTTGGGGGACGGTGTTTCTAGAAAGAAATATTTACAAATCCGATAGGTTAATTTTCAAATCCGCACTGTTACGTTTATAAACCTCAGAAACATCTAGCAATTACGTAAATAATCAGATGCATAATGTATCCGCTGATCCTATAACTAGAAAAAGTGATGATCAGAGACAACTTTATGATTATCTATGAGTCCATGAAATGAATGTGGGTGGTAGCAGACTCACAGATATGAAGCGGTTATCGTGGAACTCATGCACACTACACTCAGCAGATGGTGAACGTCTTCGCTCCAAAAAGGTCTTATTATCCAGACTGGATTGATCATGTTCGAATTTTGAATTCGTCACGTCTTTTCCAGGTAGCCTCATCCAGGGCAGACATCCCGACGCTTTGAAATGAGCCTTCATCTCGATCCGCATCAATTTACACGGAGTCAGTCACACACACGCGGTTCACTGTGTACTCATCTCATTTGCGTAAGACAGTCTGAGATGAGATCCTGGGTAGTTAGCAAGCAAGCTAGACACGCTGGGAGTGTGAGTGATTTTGCTGTCTGTTGAGTTCGTTCAAGGTCAGGCCAAGTCGCGCGCGTTCCGATTCGTCCAAAATGCTCAACTCATTCATCAGTCCGGAGTGGCTGATGAACCGTCATGCATACGTGCATGGTTAGCGCGTTCGCAGGGATGTTTTGTCGCATTACATGAGACATTCAGAGAGAGAGAGAGAGTTAACTATGGTAGAACAACTCTCCCTATTGACCAGACATCTATTTCATCCTCGATCGAGTACCTTTCGTGTTTTTCACTTTAACGGGAGAAATCTTACAAATTTCCTGTTTTCCAGTCACGAGTAACTTAACGATACATAACATCAATAAAAAACAAACTAACAAATTATATCAAATGAGGGAAACTGTGGGATTACATAAAATATTCAACTGTGTAAAATCACTGCATGAAACTTATTCATATTTGTGAACTTTCAGCAAATTACAATTGCTCCATGCAAATTAATCCATAGCCTTTGTGAATTGCATACTTTGAACTGAAACCCGTAATTGATACTTTGTGTCCATCTTGTAAATAATTGAGCAATCGTCAATAATCATCAGTTAATAACATGGGTAGTAGGATTGTTGGATGAAAACTGGTTTTGCTGGTGGAAAAAGTCTAAAATAAACTCTCATATTGGATTCTCTAATGTTCAGTGACGTGCTTTTTGGCGAAAATAAATCAACTTACTAGTATTTCATAGTTACTGCAATCTCATTGTTATAGATGAATCGAGTGGTTGATAGTAGAAGACTATTCACGTGTTGCCTACGTCTAGGTAGTTAGTAA